CAAAACTGGTTTTCCTCAACTTCTGCACACTTTTGGGGAAACCCCAACAGAAACAGAATAAATCGCAATAGTTTACATAAGACCTTTTAACTGTGATGGACTCTTGTCATCCAGGGCATTTCCTGCCTTATGCACCTTGCTTGCTGGCATAGGCTCTGACTTCCCCGGGACCATGTACTAGATAAAGCAGTTGGAAAATGTGAGGATAAATGAATGACCTATTAATCATATATGAGGCCACATAAGTAATATAGGTCTTAGATATAGTGAATATACAAGGCTGTGCTGTCTAACCCAGAGACACAGATACTTTCAATACATTTACCCGTAATAAGGAAGTGAAAACAAAATCTTACTTAAGATTTTGACTTTTAAATCAGACAGAAGGTGGAATTCATAATAGGCTTTTGATATTTATCGTTAGAGTTTTACTTAATATTTCTTTACTCGATAAAATATATCCCATGAAAGCAATATATGAGAACTACTCACATTCAGTATTCAATAAAGTTCTGAAGTGACAGGATATACCTTATTTGTATAAATGAATCTGTTCATATTTATAATATTTACATAAAACATTTAAATGCAGCTCCACCAGTTTTTCTCTCTCTCTTTTCCCCACGTTTGTTTCTGTTCCATTATAGTATTGAATGCAACATTTTTTTTTCGTAAAACCCAGCCCTTCTCACAGCTATCCCTTTCCTGGTTAAAACAATGACATCACTGTGCTGTCTCTCTGCATCTCTTCATTAGTCACAGAGCTTCACAGCTAGTGAGAGAAATGCACAATAAACTATCTAGGAAACCAAGAGTGGAAACTAAACAAGTAACTTTGGGCAGATTTGGTGTTTACATGTTCCCTCCACAAAATAATATTGGGCTCTACACAGTCATTGTATAATTTATACAAACTGAGCCAAGTCTGTAAAGCACATTAACACATCTTGCTATGATCTCTGCAGTACTGTGGGCTAAAGTGGTCTGAACTATGAAATTATGAAGAGAAAACAATGCAGGGAATGATTGAGGAAAATAAAAAGCATCTGTCTGAAATGGTCAAATAAAAACATTTTGCCAGTGCCCACAGTGGTCAAGTTCAAGTGTGATTGGCTGTTCGGGTCATCAGAAGTATAGGCCCAATCTAATTAGCACATACTGTAAACGTCAACATGCCTGCATGGAATTTTCTTGGAGTTTTTCCTGCTCAGATTTTAACATCGTCAATGGATACAGTATGCTGTTTTCTAGCCAATATGTATTGAATGAATATCTAATGAACTCAAAATGAGAGAGCAGAAAGATCACATTTGAATTGATCACATCATATATACAGTACTGTAACTATACAAAAGAAAATTGTGACCTTAAAGAGTTAAAAATACATGAAAGTAAGTTTTCCAATATCATATTCAATGTATTTGTTATTCAATATGTGTTCATTTGTATCTGTTCAGTGTGTCTATAAGAATATTATCCAATGTAATACTACCCAATAAGCCCCTAAAGCTTCTTTATAATTCTAAACTTTTTAGTCCCTAAAATTAAACCCTAGCCCAGTTCTGCTTAATGTTAATGCTTCATTCTGATTGAGTATATAACTCTGGCACCACCAAGTGTTAGTTTTAGGGAACATCAGTAAAATCAAGTATGACATCATGGTAAATATTTCCTGAAATTAAAAATTAGCTTCCAACTTTCTTATTGCTTTTAATACATATAATACCTATTTATATACCTATAGATTACCCATATCTTTATTTTTTCCTCTCAGTCACTGAAGTTGAACCTAATCATAATTTCACTGATTATTTTGATCAAATCGCATTTAGCTATATGACAGTACCTCTCTTTCTATCACACTTTGGAAAGAAATTGGCCAGTGCATGTGCTTTTGCTTAGAACCATTGATCGTGAATATCACAATCACACTCTGGCAAGTACTAGCAGTTTTAAATAAATGCTCTTGATCTTTTTCCCCACTTTTTATTTCAAAATCCCAAATAATGTGTCAGCTTTTCCATATACGAGTACAATACGAGTACGCAAGGATATTGTTACAAATGAAAACTTGAGAAATGTCATTATGAAATGTTACAAAAACATGAGAAATATCAGGAACTGACCAAGCAGATAAATCAATAAGTAAGATTATCACCCAACTTCTAAAGATTTCTGCCATGTTTTTACCATTCAGGTTGGTATATTTAGAGGCACATGTGTTCTGTGGCACAGCTTTGGTGAAAACAGTAATAATTCAGGCACACTAGGTTAAAAAAAATATTTAAAATGTCAATACAAAACATAAACTGCACACATCATAAACACACAACATGCAAGTTATGCTATGTACAAGTTTTAAAAAAGCATCCCAAAGGCCTACATTCTAAACACATAGAAAAAAAAACAATTCTTAAAAGTCACAGTTCTACAAAGAACAAAAGAAGAGATGAACTGCTTTCTAAACTAAATAGAATACAACTTGCAGTTACTGTAAATCTCTTTCTGCAAACCTAGATTCCACCCAATTTTAACACAACATCTATAGACATTTACAATGCAAATACATCATAGGACATACAACATACAGTACAACACATAGAACATTATTGAGAAACAAGCTCACTGTTCCTCAGGCTGTGAGAGGAGGTCACAAACTGGGCTGCCAGTTCAATTGAGTTCCCTTTGCCCTCTCCCAGTAGACTTGGGAGCTATTGTGATCCTGGCAGGTGTGGGGATTCGGGGATTTGATTTGGTATTTTAGGGAAGAGTGTTTGTCTAATCCCGTAGTATTTCTCACAGTGCAACAGAAAGTACATCTCTGTCTCTCGTTCTCCCTGCTGGCGGTGGGAGCATTGTCTGTCTTTCCTAGCCTGTTAATCCGGATCACGGTCACCGAGGGGCACTCCTGTCTCCCCAGATGACACTTTTTATTTTTAAGATAAACGCGAGATAAACAACTGTAACGCTTACGGCCAACAGGTACTGTGTAAGAGCCGGCTTACCAGAGCAGGTGACGTCACCGCCCTTCCCAGTAATAGCAGGACCACAGCCCCTGGGCTGTGGAGAGATCTCTCTTTGGCTCACCGGGCTGGGTCCCTGTTGAGTGATGCAGGAGTCCTGGGTTCGAGCCCCTGACAGTGCATGGCCAACCTAATGCGGCAAGGGCGCCCACCTGAACCCCCGTCGCATTACACAACATTTGTTTGAAACCACTCCACAAATTTTCTCACATGCACGTATTCTCCAATATCACCACAACAAAACCATAAAGTTTGTTTCCACAGACATGACACTATTATGCAATAAACCAATAAATTAATGAACTAGCAGAATCCCAATAAAAAAAACCCGGCAACCCGGCAAGCACAGCATGTCAATATCATACATTTTTGCCAACAAAACCGCAAAAGCAAAAACCAGCAAATATATATATATACCAAGTTTTTACCTTATTCTGGAGCATGATATATATCCAAAATAACCCAGACTAGTTTATCTCAAGAGCTAGAGACTAGTAAACGTTATTGATTACGTAGTAAATGTTTGAAGAACGACCGCCAGAAATAAGGCAATTTGATTGGTATAAACCGCTGTCATTCATTGTATTTTCAGCCATTCAGAGCCCTAAGGGGGTGAGACTTCCTCTAGAAGCTTCAGGCTGCATTTTTAGCTGTCAATCATTGACTCAGAAGGGGTAATCAATCAGTATTTTATCAGTTTCTCATCAGTGCTCCTTTTTTTCCACACCAGAAGGCAAATCTGAGGTTTTTTTCATTGCATAACAGCAGATAAAGGCTCTCTAATAAGTGGCTAGGCAGCCAGGTGTGTCCCAGTTTCTATGGCCAGACAGTGGTCACTGAGCCTATACTTCATCAGGGTCTGTTCCTTTTGCTGTTTCTTGGTCAAATATTATAAGACAGCATGTACTGTCTGTTTATGGTTCATGTTTCAGGAGCTTTCCAGTTTGTGTTGTTTTTGTGTTCTGATGTGTGTGGTGATTTGGTTGACTCTGATTTGGGGTGCTCTACAAGTGCTTTCCTGAGGCTGGCTAGTGTCAGTGTGGTTCAGGGCAGTGTGCTTCAGGACCAGCTGGCTCAGATGGCTCTTCTTTGGGCTCAGATCTCGGCTCAGCAGGGTCTTGTGGTAGAAGGAGTTTTGGTCACTGCTTTTTAGATGTAGCCAATACTTTATTGCTCTCCTCTGTATGATGATTAGTAATGGATAACAAGTGTATATCATATACTGTACTCTGCAAAACATCATCACTTATAAATCATACACTTTGGTTCTCTGTACCAAAATGATGATGATGTCTTGGCTCAAACCAGTGTGGAAACAAGAGGCAGGGTACAAAAATGAAACATCTGCATTTTGAGCTTTTACTAAAAAAATCTGTATTTGACATTTGAACATGGAGGACTAGATTCTCCAATTGGTCCAGCTCCCCTTCACTGTTGTTTTGTAAAACCAATAAAAGCTGTTGAAACTGAACAACACAAAGGTGTACTAACAGCTTAATCTAATACGTGGTCATGGGTGAGCTGGAGCCTATCCCAGCAAGCAACAGGCACAAGGTAGGATACACCTTAGACAAGATGTCAGTCCACGGCAGGGCACATACAGACATAAATAAAGACATCCTCACTCCAGTTTTTTTAGAAGCCAATTAACCTACTGTTTTCTCAGAAGCCAATTAACCTACCAGTATGTCTTTGGGCTGTGGGACGAAACCAGAGGGCCCAGGGGAAATCCACATCAACACATGGAGAATGTACAAACTTGATAACATACAGTAGCACCCCAGGTCCAGAATTCAACCCAGGGTTGTCCAGTACTGCGAGGCAACAATACTAACCACTGTACCCCCATGGCATCCCAATGGCAATCATAAACCAAATATTAAAAATCATTACTGTTATGAGCAAATAAATATCATGGAGATACTATCCAAATAAAAAGCAATATAAAAAAACAGAGCTGACTGGATGCACACAATATAATCCAAAATATATTTATTATTTCACAAACTGTCAACATTTCAACACAAATGCTTTCATTAGGACAAACATATTTGGTTCTCTAGGAATCCACTCTATAGATATTTCCCCAGCCCTTCATGTTTTTCTGAGCCACAGCTGTTAATGTGTTAGGTTTATGCTTTGTCAACTCTTTTAGATCCTGACTTTCTAGTGTTAAACTAAGCACTTGAGTATGACACATGCAGGAAACATGCATCTCAGGAAACACTTGTCAGAGGGTAATAAACTGCTGTAAACTGTAGGTATCCTTCCTGTACTTGACTGTTTCCAAAGCATTGAACATATGAACCCAAGATTAAATTAACTGTAATTCCTGCTAAACCTCTGGGTATGTTTATGTAACTTTCCACTCCAAACCAAAGTTACTATTTAGCAGATTAATACAAAATTTAAAGTTTTATTTTAAAATTAAACAATTGAATCCAAGTTCCTTTCTTACAAAGACATTAATAAAAAACCTCTTAAAATGAATTAGTTGAAAGGTATGAGCTCATATTTAAAGCTGTGTTTATTATTGTTCAGCATGTCATAATTTGCATACAAGTGTTGAACAGGTAATAGTTATGAAACTGGCTCACTTTTGCTTTTAAGTAAGGGATTACAGTTTACAATGTTTTAAATACCTGTAACATCTTTAAACCAATACAAACACAACAAAAATACATATTTTCATCCTTATTTTTAAATATAAAACAAAACGGAAACTCATGAATATAATAAAACAAAACATTCAAAGCGATAAATACAGGAACGTAACATCTGGTGAAAACAGCTTTTAGATAAAGATAAAGAGAAACAGTAATTTTTGCACAAAATACAGGCTAGTAACAGAATGCAGTAAAATAAAACATCCTTCTATAACTCACATCTCTCTACTGCATGCTTTTGAGTGTATCCAATTCTCAGAGCTTATATTTGGTATCCCAAACATCATGAAACTACACATATTCCACTTAAATATATTCTTTCAAGTTGTATAAATATAAGCAACTTTGTAAAGTACATTTTTTAAGGTAAATTGTATTTTGAAGCTGCAGTTTTATATGATCTATAGGTTTTCTCAAATCAGCCTTTGGGTTTATTTAAATAAGCTTCTTTTTAGTATATTAATGTTTTGTGAATGTCTAGCTTGGACTGAGTATCAAGCCATCAAGATGAAATGGGGTAATTTAGAGACAGGTAAAGGATGGTATTTATTGTGGTATTTACAGGTTTAGTACATAAAGATGCTTTTGAATTTTCAGATATTAAAGTCAATCAGTTCTTCACATTATTTTCTTGTCTTTTAAAACGAATGGTTTACTAACCCTTTAATGGTATTCTCTTGACTCTATAAACCAGGGGGTGTCCAGTACTGGTTCTAGATGGCCCATCTGTCTACAGCTTTTCAAGGTCTCTTCAAAGCAGCAGCTGTGAGGAGCTGGGAGAACCTCATTAAGGTAATAATGAGCCGATTGAGCTCAAGGAGAACAGCTGAGCTCAAACAACTGAGCTGAGCTGGAATGAAAACCTGCAGACGCACAGACTCTCCTGAGCCAGGATTCCTCAACGATGTTATAGGCAGATCTCAGTAGTTGCCATTAAAAGCTATTTGTACTCTTTGTAGTTTTTGTTGCCAGTTATGTAAATTCCACTAACTATTAACATTGCATATTCCCACCTCAAATTGACAGACAGTTACGTTCATAGTTACAATATCCAAAGCCACTCTAATATATCTTTTACACCCAAAATGTAAGTCTCAAACTGTTCTTGAGTTTTTGGGAAGCTCTTCCCATTAGATTTCACACAATTTCTTGGACTTTGCAAACATAAATTAAAACAAAATTAATCCAGGTGCAGTAAAACAGCATTACGTGGGTGTAACCAAAATGTCCTTCTAAAGTGCCCTCTTCATGACTTTCCATTACTGGTTGCTTTCAAAGAACATGAAGTCCTAAAGACAAAAAAAAGACAGTATGTTCACACAAAAGATAAAAAATGCACATCTTCACTTAACATACTGTGATGTGCAGTGTCCCTCAGGATCCAGCACAAGCAAAAACATAATTGGATAAAATATGGATTGCTAATTGGTTAAGCATGCACTCAAGACTAGTCAATCTATGTCACAGTTTATTGCCAAAATAATTAATTTTATTCTGATGTACTTACAATCAGAAAACAGGCACCAATCAGTACTGCTTTCATTCTGACGTCAAGATCTAAAGGAAACTGAACTCCAAAGTTATCTGCGTCTGTGAAAGCTTCTCGAAGGAGCCCAGTCCACTGCTTACTGATCCTGCCAATTTTAGCTGTTTCATCTAAAGTCAAAACCTGCACCATAAAAGACAGTTAGGACAATGACACTCCATTCTAATTTTTAATTCGATGAGTGTGATTTACATGTTTACTAATGTACATTTACACATACAGATCCAAGTAGAAAACACCTTTCTTATTATACTGGCTTAATAGAATTATAAAGGTTCTAATAGAAATTCGGAAGGAAGGTTAAGTCCTAATCTCTCACTTCTGCTTGCCTGTGTACATAGGTTTCACACCCGGAACTTCCCTTAGCATGTAAACCTCCCGCTAGCCCTCCTACACCCCTGCGAAAACTCACCAGCTCAATACTCAGAGTATGGTATGGGTGGTCTCATTTTACAGCAAGGCTGCCAAAATGTTCCTCCTCCAGGAAAGCTACTCCAAATTTTCTTGCAAATCTAGTCTTTCTCGTCTATTACAATCTAGCCAAATTACTGAATCAAAATGTTAAGAACCTGGTGTCAAGATAATAGACTGTCTCAGTGGTTGGCAATGAGTGGCTTATTAATTCCACACTTTTAGTTCCAACACTTTTCAATGTATTTTAAATATATACAATGTATAAACAGATTTCACTGTTCAGGATGGGATGCTAATTATTATTGAATACATCATATTGAATATATTATTTCGGAAAACAATACCTCAAAGTCAATGTCTGGCAAGCAGTTCCAACCACAGAAAGGACCCGAAAGTTTCAGAACTGGCTCCTTTCTCTCATTCTGAATGGTGAATTTGGGAAAGAAAGGGTGCCAAGTTTGAACAACATATCCAACAGTATTTCCAGGAGGTGATTGAATTTCTAACTGTGGAGGGAAAAAAAGGCAGCAAATGAACAACTCTGATCTAATAAACAGTTAATCCTACTGAACAATATAATTAGAAAGAAGAAAAAAACGGCTGTCATAGTTCATTAAAACTTATTACAATATGTTAACATAAACTGACTTGATTAATTAGGCAAAGCAACTTTGTCATTATAGCCAGACCCATTTTTTTTACGATTTTGGCATTTTTACTATAATCACATCTTTCCTTGGCTGTTTTATATTTCTAACTTGGCAAGCACATGGGAAAGCTTTTGTTCTGATGAGACACATGGCATATAAATGAAATGCATACTGTACATTTAATTTGTTCTTCTCAATTTTCTACATACTGAAAAGACAAAAATCCTGCCATACAGAAAGAAATGACGAGATTTTAAGGATTCTTGTACCTCTTGAAGACAGCATGGACAACAGCAACGATCGCAGTTCAATGGTCTGGTCACACTTATTACTTCTTGTCCAAAGTTATCCAAAACATGTATAGTAAAAGACCGCAAGGGTCCACAGCACTGGCGAGTTAGGCAGTCATTTTCCTCCACTGCATAGAAGACATTCTGTCCCAACACATTTTTAATTTCATATTTGTTGTTGCTCTCAAAGCCTACAAGAGCTGAAACAAAAAGAGCACAAGGGGTTCTGTTTTCCCGGAATCCATTCATCCAGCAATTATTTTTGCTAAAAGGTTGCTGAAACCTTGAACCTGTTCCAGAAGCAAAGAGCGATGGTTGAGACCACATCCTAGATGGGACACCATGTTACAGAGCACATACACACAAGTACACAGAGACAAACTTAAAGACCTCAAGTATCCTAGTTAATAAGAACATTCAGATTCCAGACAGAATGTGTCCAGGTCTATGACCAAACCCAGGGACCTACTGTAGAACTGAGAGTAAGGGGTGCTAACTGGCACCATTGTCACCCATTTTCTAAATCAGAGTTTATAATTATTTCAATCTAAGCAATTAAGTTCAAAAACACTTTCAAGTACAGCCTTACTTCAACAGGCAATTTCTTAGTCTTTTCTTAGTCCAAATAACTATTAGGCGATGAAAGAAGACTGATTTAAACGTGTCTAAAAATTAATGTGCATGCAATGTGTAGACAAAAAAACAATGAACTCAGATGTTACAGACTCTATCATAAGCAGCATTGAATTTTCTAGCACAACCTCAGAAGTTAAGTACATGGAAAAAGAAACCAGGGTGTTGCTGTAAACCATGTTGGTGGACCAGCAGGCGAAACCCACCACTGAAAACCAGTGCCCCACTCTGGTGACTGGGGACACTGTGCTGTAGCAGGTGCAGCAGTATTAAACGTCTTAAAATGTCTTAAGCCCAGGGTCCTGAATAATGTCTGCTATGGGCTTGCACACACTGGCCTACCTAAAGTTTTCCTTTAATTCACTTTGTGAAACAATTTTGTTCTCTTCCGCCCTTGTAGTAGGGATGCTGGTGCACTCCTGCCAGGTGGGTGCTGCACTTCAGTGATGAAGTGATTCTCTGCCCACCTTGATATACAGTATGCATAACGTCTTTGAGATCCTTTGCAATGACAAGTGCTATATTGTATGCAATTAAGCCATACATCTCAAAAAGCTGGTTATTTCTGGCAATGGTCACAATAACCCAGAGCCTATCCCAGTTGGAGGGCAAACACAATGAATATAACAGTTGCATATTTTTATTTTATTTTTTGGCTTTAATTTAGACTGCTGAAAAGAGTGTAAATAGCACAGAAATTGCATTGTGCCATCATTCTCCCAATACAGACACACACATAGTTTTAGTGTCAATATATTCTGGTCACAATACCTTCCACAAGCTCCACTTTTTGCTGAACAAGCAACTGGTCAATCTGCGAGGAAAATGGAAAATCATTTTCAAAGACAGAGGTTTCATTCAGTACCTTTTGTTCAGATTTACCATTAGGTTCAAAGCTCAAATTTCAATACAGGATCACCATATAATTGTGTTTCTGCATAAAGGAGCTAAAACACTGGGTGAAAAGTAGACCTATATAACAGTAGAATAATATATCTATTACTTTTGCACAACAGCATACAGCATACAGTATATGAGCAAATCAATAAGTGATGATAAACATCACCTGAGTCAGGTATTCCAGTCCAGGGGGACAGCCTGGCATAGCTGGGGGTGCTGGCAACATTACGTATGCAGTCGTGGTAACGAATCCTGAGGGACAGAGAGAGGGGAATGCTGCAGATGCTTTTTGCTTTTGCCTTTGTAGTTGGCTGAAAGCATGAAATAGTTTGTGTTAGCTTACATGTCAGTATAACAGATGTCAACTTTATAACAACTATAACAGAACCATGTAATACGGGTTTCACACAATACAGCATATTTCAGCTCTTCGACTCAGTAGAGGCCAAACAATAGATTATTAAAATGCAAACATAACTGGAAATGTTCCAGGATGCCAGGGTTCACACTTGCAAAATCACATACGAACTCAAACACAAAGATTGCATGAAACTACACAGCAGGTAATTGAACCCACAGTGTAAATAATTTAGAGCTGAAATAAAATTTACTTTTGTAAAATAATATTGTCCATTTTCCACACATTTAGAAAGAACAATAAGTGTTTGTGGACTTCATGTTACAGTATATGCTTGCACTACTCAATTAGTGCTTATAAGCGACACCTTACCATGCTGTAATGGTGAATATCACATTTTTCCTCTACTTGATGCTCTTAGAGTAGCTGAATAGTAATTGGTGTACTCTTTGAAGGGAGTATAGCAGGGAATTTACATATAATCTTGTTTAAAACTCATTCTACTCTTTATATATTACAGGTCTGCCCACTGACTTGTTAATAGAAATTCCTTAATTAAAGAAATACAAATTAGTTATCACTTACTTGATAAAATGCAATACTTTTACTGCAAACTATTACAGCTAATAACAATTCAATTAAAAAGAGTAAATTTGTATTTTGTATTTGTTCAATATTTAATATTCACTATTTTTCATATATTCTCCTCTGAAAAGGACAACTAGCACCATCTGGTGTTGACATTTAGTTCTGCTAGCACTCACTCACCTAGCTGGTATCTGACACCTATTTACCTCAGCTTACTTATACATGAGCACATGTCAAAGCAATATTTAAATAACAATATTAGTTATAAATAACTCCGGCTGTTACATGTTACACACAGGTATAAAGTCTTCCAGCGACTGTGCATCGGGAATGGAGACTTAAATAACCACTGTACGAGTTCCAAACTAAAATCATATACTGTATGGTGAATGGCCAAGCTGTCAGGATTTCAGTTTGACATCACATCTAAATTCCCAGTGCCCATGCTAGGGCCTTGTTTTCTTTCATACATTCTGGTACAGATGGAAGAGCGCCTACTACTGCTCTTCAAGAAAGGCTTGCAGCAGCATGCTGGTTTTCCTTGCAGATCTTTCATCACAAAAAGCCTTAGTCTTTCTTAGCTTGTCAGATTTGATGAGGTCAGGTAACAAGGGGGGAACACTGTATATGTAGTATCTTTGCTGAAAATCTTACCCTTTAGCTCCGACAGCTGTGTCTCATGTGTTTCTTTTTTTCATTTATTTGCAGTACCTGTAGTAATGTCCAGCATTGGTTAAAGAATTCTGTGCATTGTTCCAGTATTTTCTACATAGTCCACATCTAGCCAGATTTGTTGCTATTTGTAATGCTCCATCCCAATGCTCAATTGCATTATTTCCTAGCAAAATCAACAACTATTTTCCAAGAGTCATTTAAGAAATTAATGAATTTGCTCTTTGTGGCAGAAACAACATACAGTACATAAAAGAATCTGCTCCACCACCATGCAACACACTAGCAGCAATGATGTCATTACTGCCAGCCTAGCTACACCAGGTCAAACGCAAATCATCATTGGTCAGATGATTAAAAAACTTTGCAGCTGTACAGTTCAAACATAATGGTTCATAGCAACATAGGCACGTTGCCATATTATCTAAAAAACAGTCACTACTGATTTGGGGATAAGCAATTGGAAACAATATTTTTTTAATGAAGGCAACGTGCCTATCGCGCTAACGAAGGGCTTTGGCCCCTGTGTAAAGCGACGTAAATAGGTAACATTGAGAGCTATTATCATGACGAATCTAATTACCCCCAAATAGCATTGTTTTGTATCTTTATCTAAAAGAACAGTCTCAACAGGTGGTATTCCTTTCACATTTGATGGACATACTGTAACATTTCGTCATCTCGTCGCTAACCATCGTGTGCTCAGTGTGGCCTTTCCATATATTTTTATTTAACTACAGTACATGCTGTAAAAACATCACAACAACAATAAGGCTCAAACATTCAATATAACAACATTGAGTCATGAAAGTTTGTTTTAATATCGTGTTACAAAAATTGAAAATTTGCCTTGTCATTGTTCTTAATTGTAACATGATGTACTGTGTTACTGCTGCTACTACTACTAATAATAATAAACTTACTGTCTCGATCACATCAGTTATATTAATATGGTAGTTGGATTAATTTAAACCGTTAGTTTCACACGTTTATTGCGCACTAGAATTGCAGTCGAGATATTACATATTACGGTTTTTTATATTTTCCACCGCGCACGATTGGTCATATAATGTCCAATGACTACGAGGTTATTTCATCGAATTTCCCGTTAGCCAATCCCTTAGATGCACCTGCGTGAATTCCTGTCACAGTGAAAGAAGCACATACAGTAAACGCGCTGGCCCGCTTAAAGCACATTTCTCAGACATTTATTTCACTCTTTGGATTACATTTCTATACAATGCGTGAAATACAGCAATCTCCACCAAGAACTGTTCATGTACTGTATCATATTGGGAAAAGACGTGTTTGGCACCACCTACTTATATACTGTATATCTTCATGGTTTTAGTCATACATGAGAGCTTGAAAGGGTATGCATCAGATGCATCATTTTTTTAAATACTACAATATAGTAAACTACCCTCTGAAATTTAGACAGTACATAAAAAACAAGCATACTCACCAATAAACACAAGGTAGTGATGCAAAATTAAATCACAATGTCTTTTATTTTCTTTTAGCTGTTCATTCCAAAGAAAAACGCCACTACCTTGCAACAGTGTAACGGATCGACACCAGAGCCTTGAAGCCTCATTCTAAGGTCTAATAATAAGACATACAGGAAATGCAATCAATAACTGAAACATCGAGCACAAATCGCTAGAATAATCCAGATATTCCCCCCGTTTAAACCGCAATATAATTTGGTTTGATGCTCTGGGTATCTGTAGTAAGAAAATATAGATATTTTCCTGCAGAAAAAAAATGAAAAGAGTTTACATGAGCAATTCTAAAGATCGCTGTGGAATACACTGCTGTTGTTTTTTTTTTGTCAGAAACGTTTAATCCTCAAGTAATCCTCAATTCTTATCCTGAGGGATCACTAGTTTCTAATACGCAGGTCCTTTGATCTTCGATATTTATAAGTGTTTTTAACTTATATGCTTATTTGGTTAAGGGTTATTTATTCTGATTTGACTTTAAAAATCGTTAGCTAAAGTACAATTCTTGATTTCCTAATGCCTCAACAAGCAAACCTATAATCTCCTCAATTTGTTAAGAATGTTCACAGGCATTTTTGACAAAAATGCGGTCAAAAGGAACCCGTATTATAATGAAAACACACAGATGCCAATAACAATGCACCAGACAATCCCACAGTGTTTTTTTTTTCTTAAATCTGGTTGGTCACATTTGATTTCACATTCCTGAATGAAGTCAGTACTGAAACACACGTATTAGTACAGTGTTGGTACCAAATTACAAATTCCAGTGAACTTTTGCTGAAAGCAAATATGAAAATAAGGATAGAAATATTTAAATAAATTAGCACGTGATTAAGAACTCATTTGGAGCAAAATTCAGGAGACAGGGGACCAGGATACAGAACCATTAAATTGAATCGAAACATCTTTTAAAATAAAGAAAACAGAAATGGATGCATGTCATTAAAACCACATAAAGCATTAATTCAATGGCTCATGAGAAATACATAATAACAGATATATGAAGCATTCAGAGAAATACACCTAATTTTCTAGGTAGTAAAACCATGGCAGCAACTGATTATCATTTCCCCAACAAAAAGAAATGTTAATTCCATGCTGAAAAGAGAAGAAAAGAAACACAACTTTTCAGCTGTATAGGCTTCTTCAGAAAAAGGCTCCACAGCTGAAACATTTTTTCTTTTCTTCTCTTTTCAGCATGGAATAAACCTTCACCTGTTCCTTTGCAACCCACACACACTGACATACCTACTTAAACTACTAAAAGAGAAATGTTAAATGTATTTTATTTAAAAGATAATTTGGCAGTTTCTTCTTTTTTTCTAGGCTATAACATTATAAATCTTTCAACTTCAAGATGTCACATAACATGATTAAAAAATCAATTGTCAATTGTAAAATCCACACAACGATATAATTTAGTGAATGGTGCATTGTATCCATTATTATTCATTAGCAGAAGTTTAGGTAGTATGTAGCCTTATTGATGGTGATACTATTGAGATGAAAGCTCTTTTGTGTGCTTGGGGGGTGACCTGACACTAGGGAAGAAAGAGCTTCCTGCTAGGAGAGAGACTCCCATTCCCTGAAGATCCATTGGCCCACTGGGGGTCTGTTCTTCCATATCTTCTCTTGTATCCATGGGTGCTAAGTGAACATTGCACAATCACAGCTTCTGGGCAACAGCAGAAACATCCAGCTGCACCAACACTGTCTCGCACAAACATACACGTTTACACTCACACACATGACCAAGGCCACCAGGGACATGTGAACACAAGGGGACTCATGACAAAAGTCCTCTTGAGGTCTTCAAGTCCAGGACATGATGGTCACATTATGATGAAGTAAAAGAAATCTGGATATCCTGTGTGGATCTGTAAAACAGGGAGAAAATAGAATGAATATACTAATTTTTATTGAAATGCTTAAGAAATCAAAAGGTACTCATATTAAAACTAAAAATCACATCAAAAACTAAGATCACATCAAATACAATGCTAATATTATGATCATCCCAACTCCCCCCATGAATTCGGGAAGCATGCTATTCAGTTGTATGGGAACATCACTCTACCACAAATTCTGTAGAATGAAGTCCTTTAGACCTGATTTGGTCAAGAGTGTTAGTGTTAAACGCAGCTGTAATGCCATAAAGTGATATGTTGACAAAAAGTGGTACTGTACACATACCAATCTGTGACAAATGTAACATCACAGTTTTAGGGTAGAAAATATTAGTAGATCTGTATTAAAGTAGTAAACACCAACAGTAAACACAAGTTTCATGTTTGAATAAAATGTTAAATTACTTTTTGTCATACTGAAAAGACTTTATGGCATGAAAATTATAGCTGTTGTGTGCTCAGGCCTTGACATTTGGGACAGTGATCTGGAAGTGTTGTATGAGGTTTAAAATTTACAGAAGGGAGTGTGCAGAAACACTGGCTCTGTCACACCTGCTGGAAGAGAGCCCTCATGTCATCACATTGTGACTTGGTACTGTAGGTGGTGAAGTCTGATAAGAGCAACCTTTGTCACTGCAGCCCTGTTCAAGCACAAACTGGAAAGCAATAAAAGGTACATGGATTGCTTGGGTGTATGGGGAAAAAGTACTAAATTGAAATCCAAGGAAGCTAGGTTTTAGAATTCATCAGTAAGACCTTGGAATATTGTGTTCACTTCTGATCAGCATATCAGAAAAAAAAAATATTTAAGCCTTAGAAAGCTGGTGAAAGAAGAAAAAGAAGGATAATTCCCGGTCCTGGGAAAGTGTCTTACTCAAGCTCTGGTATCTTTTAACCAACTGCTGGGAATAAATTCAGATTTGCTTAGCTCCTGAACTTTGAAATGATTTCCTCTGTGGCATTACGCGGGGGCGTGTCCAGTGTGGAGTGCCTCGCTTTTGACGTCAGAGCTGTTCTGGCTTTTTGAGGATGAGCCGCAGGTGTGAGGGCTCTATGAAGGCATACTGGACCCCCCCAGTCCGCCCCCCTCCCCCTCCCTCAAGGGACGAACAGAGCAGCCCCCGGAAGGGGAGCATCTTTTCACCAGCAGTCCCGGAGGGGACTGTACCCGCGTAAAGCCGGTGATCTTTTTCTTTTCGTTTCCTTTTGGCCTGTCCCGTCACGTATTTTCACCGGGGCAGGCAGACACTTTCTCACACACTGAGTTTTTTTTATTTTGTTGTTGGCCTTACGCACCCTGGTCTACCAGACGGGCCCCGTTGAAGTCCAGTCTGGTCACTGCTGTGCTAAGCGGCTTCTTTTCCCCAGACTGGACCCCATTCCATAGCCCAAGCCCAGCCTGGATATCGCGAGGCACAGCGGCACATATTTCTTTGCTTTTTGCTGGATTTTTTCTCACCCTTTTAGTGTTGTTTTCGGTTCCTGCTAACCTGCTGTTTCTCAAATAGTGGTGCAGAACATGAAATCCTAAAAAAATAAAAATGATAATTGATAAACATACAAAAGCATTGTTTAAATACATTTCACGAATATATTTAGTTCTTTTTGGTCTTTGTGCAAATACCATGATATTTAGGCTTTTTTTTAGTGAACACTTTGGATTAATCTAATGTTTTAATTAAAATTTAACCAAGATTTTGGTGAGCAGTTTGGCATTTTGGTGGAACCAGTAAATAGTTTGTAAAGGTATACTTACTAGAAGAGAACAGGCAGCAGTCATTACAGCTTTTATTTTGATATCAGGGTCTCTTGGAAATTCCACTTTATAGTTACATGCAGTGGTGAACATTTATTGAATACAGCCTGCCAATCCTGCCAACTGTTCAAGATCATTTCACAGATCTCACCTGCAGTGCAATAAAAAATTAGTACTGTTGATATATCGTTCTTACATCAACATGAACTCTGTCTCTTGAAGACAGCAGGGATACCAGCAGCTCTTAAATCTTAAAGGGTGGCTCACAGTTATAATATTAATAATTAATAATAATTGCTTACACTCATATAGCGCTTTTCTGGACATTCCACTCAAAGCGCTTTACAGGTAATTGGGACTCCCCTCCACCACCACCAATGTGCAGCATCCACCTGGATGTAGTTATAACCAGTTATAACCTCCTGACCAATATAATTATGAATCTTTATGGTAAAGGAACTGAAGGTCCCAAAGAAGTACAGTACTTGTTCAAACAGTTGTTCTCTTCAATTGCATAAAGAAAAGTGGTTGGTCAAGGCCATTCTTAATCTCATATTGGTTGTTAGGGTTGCAGCCAGAAAGAACTAAGAAATGTAAAAAAAATAACTTAAAGACACCTTTTAAGAATTTGCATTACAAATATAAATATATTAATGTATTGTTAACCATTTATCAACATAATGATCCTTTACAGCTCTCTGTAGACCTGTAACATGAATAAATCCTTCAAAAGCCAAATTTTGTGCATTGTGTAGGTTAAACCTTCTTACAGTATCTCTTTGCAATCGTAAAACACTGCTCTAGTGTATAATACCCCCCACAGTATTGTTTCAAGTTTCAAGGTGTCAGCAATGACACATGAGGAGTCTAAGTGTTTCTCACTGTCAATGGAATGGTTGTGCCTGGAGTTCCGCATATTCAGTTCAACTGTTTCAATGGCATCCCCTTTCAACCAAAAACCATTTGTCCATGTATCCTGTTATCTATTATCTAATGCAAATGTTTAGAATTCTTGTTGCTACTTTACAAACATCTTTGTAATGTGGAAGGAATATTTTTACTGTATTATACCAGTATGCCACCATGGAGCAGTGGCTCTGTGGCTAAGGATCTGTGACTGGAAGGTTGCCAGTTCAAATCCTGCAGCTGGCAGAGGAATCCTACTCTGTTGGGCCCCTGAGCAGGGCACTTAACCCCAACTGCTCCAGGGGTAATGCACAATGGCTGACCCTGTGCTCTGACCCCAAGCTTCTCTACCTGTCTGTGTCTCATGGAGAGCAAGCTGGGGTATGTGAAAAAAACAAATTCCTAATGCAAGAAATTGTATAGGGCTAATAAAGTAACATTATTATTATGCTGTGATCATGTTGGTTAGGAAAGTGAGTTTGTTTAGAAATTATTAGTGTAAATAGAAGTTTTAAAATAAACAGGATGCAAATGTAGAACATGTTTAATTTAACATGTCCTGCAGCAGGTTAAAAAAGGTTATGTTGCTATTCTTACTTAACTGGACACACTTAAATCCTGCTTTACTAAACTGAAAATCAACATGGTCAAAACAGGTATTCGGTTAACTTAGTAATATTGCTTTGTGAAACAGTCCCCTGGACATCTTACTTTGAGAAGACCAGAATCTTGTTAATAGTGATGCTTACAACATAATTTTAACTTTTACCTTCAAGAAGCTCCACTTTCTGAAAAATGTGCAATTGGTCAAGCCAGTTGTTTTAAGAACAAACACCCATGCTGGTTAATATATTAGGCAGGAAAATGCAGACATTTTTCTTCTCAAATTAAAAGAACACAACACAAATAATAACACATAAGAACAAGTAAATTTAACATGCACAACCAAGAAGTCGTTGGGCAATGAAAAGGACACCATGCACTGGGTTGGTAATTTGACACTAATGGAGAGATCAAAGTTATTTATTTTTTTTTAATCTGGATATGTGTACAAAGCTTTTTTCAATCCTATCAAAAGAAATATTTGACTAACTGTATGTCAAAAGGAGAGTCCCTGGACAGATAAAAGTGCAGGAAATTGTACTTTTAAATGAATATAAATTAGAATCACTAGTTCGGTGTAGAGAAGATTGAAATTGCAGTTTTGGGTTACTGAGAAATACACTGGGAAGTGATTTTGTAACATACAAGAGGAGAAAAAAAGCAATGACAAAGACAAATAAAAACAACAATAACGTAGGAATGCAGTATTGTGGTTACCTGATACAAGCACTCCAGGCCAGGAGGACAGCCCTCAAGCCTGGGGGGAGCTGGCATTACCAGTGCAGCGGGCTTGGTTATGTGTCCTTGGGCTGGAGAGTTAATGAAAACAGAAGGAAAACAAAAATAAGTCTTTAATACAATTTCAAGTTACCAATACTTTGCTGCTTATTATAAAGACACACTGCCATAGAACGTAAGAAAAAGACACAAGACAGATAGGCCACTGAATAAGGTTATTGCAACTCTCCCATTTTTATACTACTCACTCAGTAACCTGCGTCAAAGTGTAGCTGTCAAGTTTACCAACATTGTTTTTCTTTAAGGTTTTGGATTACTTTCAGCCCTAGAGATTCACCGTCATAAAATGTCAAATTAAAAGCACAATGTTTTACACATCTAACACCAAACTCATTCAAGGCCCCTCAGGACAATTCACTCGGACGACAACCTTATTTGCTGTATCTCTTGCGGTAAACACCCAGCCATCTACATTGGGGAAACAGGAAGGAGACTCAGAGACCACTTCAGAGAACATGTAAGGGCTGTGAAGATTAAGGATTTCTCCAAGCCCATAGTTTCTCATTTCAACTCTGACGGCCATAATCACACTGATCTCTCTGTTTCGGTTTCTTAACTCTTATAGCAGAAAGACATCAGAAACTAAAATTATCCTGAAACTTGGCTCATACCTTCCCCCTTCTCTCAACAACAGACTTGTTTTCTTCTAATTCTCTCTATTCATTTGTAGGTTTCGTTTCACACCTCTCCTCACCTCTTTTAACCTCGCACCACTTGATTGGCCACTCTGCCTCTCCCCTGCTCCCGCCTCCTCCTCTCCCCTGGCTTTTGTTTTCCCACACTATATTATCTTTGCTGACTGTCCTCTCTTTCTTACATCTGAAGGAGGCTCCACAGCCAAAACATTGCGTTTTCTTTCTTCTCTTTCCAGCATGGAATAAACTTATTATTTGTTCCATTTTATGTATGACTTCATTCTCAGGGCTTAAATTGAATCTTTCCAGTCACTTTGATATGAGATGGGGTTACAGAGATTCTCGTATTACAGAGATTCCTGTATAGAATGCAGCCTAGGACAACATTTTTTTCTCTAATGAAATATTAAGCACACAACCTAAATGATTGTAAACTGGCATACAGAATGGAATTATGTACTGTAATATCATGCCAGTGGTTCAGCATGCCTTGTCCATTGCAGACTGCTCTGCAATCAGTCTCCATT